TCTCTCTCTCTCACTTTCTCTCTCTCTCTGTGTTTCTGTTTCTCTCTGTTTCTCTCTCACACACATTCTTTCTCTCTCTCTGTTTCTGTCTTTCTCACATTCTCTCTCTCTGTTTCTCTCTCTCTGTTTCTCTCTCTCTCTCTCTCTCTCTCTCTCTCAGCCTTATTAAGTGGGGGGTCTCAGAGGGCTTCCCGGCTGCCATTTTGTGCCCACCGTCATCTTTGTCCAAGAGGCTCTCGGGCTCTTCCGTTGGACGTTCTCCCGGAAAGTCTGATGCAGGAGACCAAGCGGCAGGAGTAAACATTCACACCCACCCCGAGTTCACACTTTGGGGTGAGGAAGCCCCCACCCCACCCCAGGCCCATCCCTGCTCTCCAGAATCGGAGAAAGATGGCTTGAGGTCCAGATGTTTCTCTTCTCTCTGTCTCTGGCAGCCCCACCTCGCCTCTTCCCCCCCACCCCCGACCCTCCAGGCTCCCTGGGTATGGTCCAGTTCCCTGATGGCACCCGTGCCAGAGGTGGCATGCGGAGCCCTCTTCTCGGTGGACCCGCGAGCCGTCGCCCGAGCTCGGCATGCGCGCACGCCTCCCTCCAGCCAGCTGGTCTTCGGATCTCTGCCCCGCATATGCGGGTGGGGGGAGGTGTGTTGGACACATGGGGGTGGGTGGGAGGCACGCACGGGTGTGTGCGTGCATGCATGCAGGATGTGTGTGCATGCGCAGGAGACAGGGTTCATGCACAGTGCACACGCACGCATGCACGGAGATGCACACGCCTTCACAGGGGAGAGCCACATAGGCAGAGTACACACGCAAATATGCCGGGTGGGGGGACGCACACTTTTGCATTTTGGAGATGCGTGCACACGTGCTTTGGGCACCCGATGCCAAAAAGCTTACCCATCCCCGGTCTATTTTTTAACGAAAGGAAGGACTAGTGGGAACATGATAGCGGATTCCAAGTATTTGAGGGCTATTCCCCAAAGCCCCTGAAGGCAGGACCAGAAACAACGGATGGAAACTCATCAGGGACAGAAGCAACTTAGAACTAAGGAGGAATTTCCTAACAGGGAGGACAATTAACCCGTGGAACAACTTGCCCCCAGAAGTTGCGCGTTCTCCGTTACTGGAGGTTTAGTTTACTTTGATTGTCCTTGCACCTCGTACAACAAAATCAAACACCATCTTCGGTGCACATCATGACCGGGAAAATCAACACAAACACACATATCCTTCACCCTCCACACATTGAAGCGAAAACGCCCCCGACACCGCACCAACACTGCACTATACAGTAGAATTTAATAGAGTTCCTGCACTGGGATAGAAGCTGTATTTCAGCCTGTTTGTCCTTGGTTTTTATTATTGTCCTGTACCGTCCGCCAGATGGCAATAGTTCAAAAAAAAAAAAAGGTGCCCAGGGTGAGATGGATCTTTGAGGATGTTGTGAACTTCCTTAAGGCAGCGGGAGCTATAAAGCTCTTCCAAAGACGGGAGGGGGCAACCAAAGATCCTCTGGGCAATGACATTAACTCTCTGGAGCGCTGTCCTATCTGCCCCTGTGCAAGTGGCAAACCCTACACAGGTGCAGCAAGTTAAGATACTCTCTCTGGTGCAGCGGTGGAAGGTCACCAGCAGTTTTTCACTCAGTTGTTGTTTCCTGAGAAGCCTCAGGTAGTATAATCTCCGCTGGGCCCTTTTGACCAGGGCTGCAATGTGATCCCCCCAAGTCAGGTCCTCTTTTAGGGTAACACCCAGAAACTTAAAACTGGCCACTTGCTCCCCTCGGTCTCCCTGGATAAGCAAGGGTTGGAATAGAAGTCGTCGAGGATTCCTTCCAACGCTGTTATTCTGAGTTGGGGTATAAATAGATGGATGGGTTGGGTGAACAGACGGATGGCCGGATGGCCAGATTGATAGACCATGGATGGATGGATGGATGGATGGATGGATAGATAAATGGATGGATGGCTAGGTAGATGGTGTGGTGTGGTGCCTAGAGGTGGTGCTCTCACCTCACAATCAGGAGGCTTGTGAGTTCGATCCTAGGTAGAGGCAGATATTTCTCTCTCTGAGCACAATAAGAATATATCTGCTGGAAAAAAAAACTCCTAATTGGCAACAAGAAGGGCATCTGGCCAGTAAACACTCAGCTTCATTCAGTCGCCCAGACTCCACCCAGCAAGGGATTATGGGCTCGTTAAAAGAGGATGATGGATGGCTAGGTAGATAGACTGTAGATAGGCAGATAGATATAGATGGATAGGTGTCTAGGTAGACCAGGGTGTCGGCAACCTTAAACACTCAGAAATGAATTGAAAATGTGTAAAATAAGCTTGAGGAAAGTGTTTGAGACAAATAATAGAAAATATGTAAAGTAATGGTAAGATGCAAAATTAAATATGACAGGTGAATATGTAAGCAAAGTCATGTTTGTATGGAAATGTGAAAACCTGGAATCATGCTGTTCACTTAAAAAAAGATGTTTTTAAAATGTGGAAAACTGAAATAAAACTTTTTACCAAAAAAAAAAAGAAGAAGAAGAAGTGCCATTTGGACATGTTTCCCACAGGAAAAAAAATACCGGAAGCCACAAAACCTGAATGGAATGGAATGGAATAGAAATATTGGAGTGAAAAACAATATTTCTATTCTATTCTTTGTCACTCCAATATTTCTATTCCATTCCATTCCATTCAGGTTTTGTGGCAATAGAAATATTGGAGTGAAAAAGAATAGAATAGAATAAAATAGAATTGAATCGAATTCTTTATTGGCCAAGTGTGATTGGACACAAAAGGAATTTGTCTTAGTGCAAATGCTGTCAGTTGTACATAAAAGATACACTCGTCAAGAGTCAAGAATCATCAGGTACGACATTTAATAATAGGCATAAGGGGACAATAAGCAATCAAATCATACTAAGAAACAGTCAATAGTTGAATTAAAGATTCTGTTTTCTTCTGAAATTTTTCTTGGATTTGTCCATGGTTAGCCTACTGGGGGAGGGGTCAAAAAGCTCAATAAATCGCATGCTGGCGGGTGTCGCACCTTGGCAGTTGGAATGCATATTTTGAGACAGGGAGCCGCAGCCAAGGGATGAAAGAGCTGCATGCGGCTCCAGAGCCTTGGGTGGCCGACTCCTGAGGTAGACAGACATTTAGGATAGATACATGGAGATGGAGAGAGCGGGGTATAGATAATACCATTGTACCCGAGAACTCCTGTGAAAGTGCTCGGCTGCCAAGAGGCGTCCCTCCCCTCCCCTTCTCCTGGGTTGGCTCCTTTCTCCTCCCCCTCCCACCCTCACCTGCTCGCCCTCCTTGCCTCCCTCCTGCAGATGACCGGGTGGACCAGCGCACTTGCCTGATCTGTGGGGACCGAGCGACGGGCCTGCATTACGGCATCATCTCCTGCGAGGGCTGCAAGGGCTTCTTCAAGCGCAGCATCTGCAACCGGCGGGTGTACCGATGCAGCCGCGACAAGAACTGCATCATGTCTCGCAAGCAGCGCAACCGGTGCCAGTACTGCCGACTCCTGAAGTGCCTCCAGATGGGCATGAACCGGAAAGGTGGGCAGGGAGCGGGCCGGGCCGGGCAGGGTTGGGTGGAAGGGGGTCCTCGTTGAACCAGCACGACCTTTAGGTGGAGAACCTGGACGGGGGGGGGGGGGGGGGGTCAGGATAGCAGTCTTCTGGTATCGGATGGGCTACCCCAAAGGAGAAGGAGTCAAGCTATTCCCCAAAGCCACCTGAGGGCAGGAGAAGAAGCCATGGGTGGAAACTAATCCAGGAGAGAAACAACTTAGGAATAAGGAGGGATGTTCCTGATAACCAGCGGAACTGCTTACCACCAGAGGTTGTGGTTGCTTCATCACTGGGGTTTTCGAGAAGAAACTGGACAGCCTTTTATCTGAAATGGGGATGGGTTCTCCTGCTTGAGCAGGGGGCTGGACTATATGACCCCCAAGGCCCCTTCCATCTTGATTCCGTTCCATTCTAACTCTTAATCGTAATTCTATTCCTATTCTATTTCTTTTCCATTCCAAATTCTATTCTATTTCTCTTATTTCCATTCCAATTTCTATTCTGTTTCTGTTTTTCTTATTTCGTTAGAGAAGCTTCGGGAGCTGATGTCCAAGTTGTGGGCAGGGTCTCCATTTAAAAAAGGGAAAAGAAAACAGGCTGTTTTCTTCCCTGCATCTGGTTGGCACTTGGAGGCTGGCTTTCCACCTGCTTTGGAGCACCCCAAGAGCGAGGAAACCAAAGTTTTCCCAGGGGGGGCAGCAGCTGATCTGGTGTGTGGCCACCAGAGGGAGCCTGAAGGTCTTCGACCAGCGGGGTGGCCAGCGATGCAACCCGCAACCGAAACCTCTCCGGAAAGCTGCTTGTATTTTTGTGGCTGCAGACCCGGCTTAAACAAGCAAACAAAAGTCAGCCTCACACACACACACACACACGGGGCAGAGCCCCCTATTTTCCCTGGCCAAGCGGGGCGGTGGAGACCTCTTATTGTCTAGGAAAAAGAGACGGTCGTAGAGATCCGTCTCTCTGCGGATCAGGTTGGACCACGAATGTCTGACTTTCTCTTTCTTCTCATCCACCATTGGCAGACCTGTGACCGCAATTTGGGGCTCAGTGAAGGTTGTCAGTTGAGGAGTACCTTTAATACAGAGGTCACCGTGGCCTGAAGAATCCCGATGAGCACAAAACGTGTCATGTAGCGCCTCCTCCTGGTCAGGAGGTTGTAGGGCAATAACACTTAATCACTTCACAGCGCTTTCCAGCTCTGTCTCTCTCTAAGCGGTTTACAGAGTCAGCCTCTTGCCCCCAACAATCTGGGTCCTCCTTTTACCCACCTCAGAAAGATGGAAGGCTGAGTCAACTTCGAGCCATCAGAATCGAACTGCTGGTAGTTGGCAGAGTTAGCTTGCAATCCTGCATTCTAACCATTGCGCCACCACAGCTGATAGAGAGATAAATAGGGGGGGGGCAGGCAGGCTAGATAAGATAGATGGGTAGATAGATAAGATACACCGATAGATTAGATCGATCTAACACATAGACTTATATACTACTTCGCAGTGTTGTACAGCCTCTCTAAGCAGCTTATGGAGTCAGCCTCTTGCCCTCAACAATCGGGGTCCTCATTTGACCCACCTCGGAAGGATGGAAGGCTCAGTCAACTTTGAGCCGATCAGGATTGGACTGCTGGCAGTGGGCAGAGTTAGCTTGCAATCCTGCATTCTAACTATTGCATCCCCACAGCAGATAGATAGATAGATAGATAGATAGATAGATAGATAGATAGATAGATAGATAGATAGATAGATAGATAGATAGATGGATAGATAGGGATGGATAGATAGGGATGGATGGATAGATAGATAGATAGATAGATAGATAGATAGATAGATAGATAGATAGATAGATAGGGATGGATAGATGGATGGATGGATGGATAGATAGATAGATAGATAGATAGATAGATAGATAGATAAATAGATACAAAGATAGATAGATAGATAGATAGATAGATAGATAGATAGATAGATAGATAGATAGATAGATAGATCTTGTAGATAGATCTTGTAGATAGGTAGATAGTAGACAGCCATAGGGATAGATAGCAATAGCACTTAGACTTATATAGCGCTTCACAGTGCTTTTCAGCCCTCTCTAAGCGGTTTACAGAGTCAGACTCTTGCCCTCAACAGTCTGGGTCCTCGTTTTACCCACCTCGGAAGGACAGAAGGCTGAGTCAACCTGGAGCCAGTGAGAATTGAACTGCTGGCCCTTGGCAGAGTTAGCCTGCAATCCTGCATCCTCGCCACCACGGCTCTATGACCTCTCGAATCGAGGGGAGGAGGCGCTCTTGAATTAATACAAGAGCGCGCGCGTGTGTGTGTGGCGGGGGGAAAGGTAGGCACACCTTAGCTTAGCTTCTAGGGATGGTTTATCTGGGCGCCATTGCCGGAGTCCTGACCGGTTTCCTTTTCCGTCCCTGCCAGCCATCCGTGAAGACGGCATGCCCGGGGGCCGGAACAAGAGCATTGGGCCTGTCCAGGTGAGCACTTCTTCCTGCGCAAGGCGTGGCTTTGCTAGCTGCCTCCCAAGTCCCACCTGCCCTCTCCCCCAATCCCCAAGGAGGGTTAGGGTTTCACGCCGGTTGAGTGGAAGGGCCGAGCCACACACCCAAGCGGCTGGTTTCTCTTTTTTTTTCCTTTTCCCTCCCGGGTCTGGCGGGGGAAATCAGATCTCGGAGGAAGAGATCGAACGGATCATGTCCGGCCTGGAGTTTGAAGGAGAGGCCAACATCTCCTGGTGTAACAACGGAGACAGCGACAACAGCTCGCCGGGCAACGGGGTGTCGGAAAGCAACCAGCCTTCCCCGGTCTCGACTCCGTCTTCGAGGTGGGACTTTGGGGGGGGCGGGGGGGGGGGGGGGGGGGGCCGGAGGGTTGGGGGGGGGGGGGCGTTCCGATCAGTCGCGGGTCTCTTTCCCTCCCTCTCCCTTCTCTCTCAGCCCTGCCTTGGCTCTTCCAGCAGGTCCGTGGAGATGAACGGGTTTACGGTTCTCAGGGATCAGTACATGGGCACCCCAGTGTCCGCCCCCTACCAGTACCTGCCGCACCTTCTCAGCTGCCCGACTCACACGGCGCTGATGCCCCCGCAGCCCCGCAGCCTCGACCCCCAGGCCCACGGGCTCCTCATCAGCCAGCTGGTGTCCGCGGAGGACTTGGAGCCCTTGGGCACCCCGATGCTGATTGAAGACGGGTGAGTGCCAGCTCTCTTCCTCCTCCGGGCACGTAAATATGATTAAACTAGCTGCATCCCCACGCTTCGCTGCAAAACTATGATGTCGAATTTAGTTTTGGGGGAGGAAAATCAGGAGAGAAGAAATTGTGCCTCGGCCTGCCAGCATCCATCGGTATTCATCTGGCTAGTGTCCTGTCAGTGTGTGAGAGAGTTGAGGTCTGTTTGGAAACTGAAACACTTATTTGCTGTGTGAGCAAGAAGAAGACAGCAAGGAGCCTGGGTGTGGCTTAGCTCAACTGTTCTGGACCAAAGCTGCTTGGTGCTCTGAAAGTGAAACTGAAACTAAAACTCCTCCTCTGCTTGTGTTTTGCAGTTGGAAGAGATTTCTTTTTTTTGGGGGGGGGGAGTAGAACTCCTTAGCATCAGAGCGTGTTAATAGTAATAATAATATAGGAAATACTCTAAATGCTCTGATGGTCATTTCGAAAAATCCTTTCTTAACGAGCCCCTAGAAGCTAAGAGACCAAATTTCAAGTTTGTAGGCTTTATAGTTCTGCAGATTTTGTGATGATATATGAGTGGTATTTTGCATAGAGAGAGAGAGAGAGAGGGAGAGATGGATAGAGAGATAGAAAGATAGAAAGATAGATAGATAGATAGATAGATAGATAGATAGATAGATAGATAGATAGATGACAGATAAGACAGATAAATAAGATAGATAGTTAAGATAGATGATAGATAGATAGATGATAGATAAGACAGATAGATAAGATAGATAGATAGTTAAGATAGATAGAGCGGGGGAGAGAGAGAGAGAGAATTTCCAATTTTTTTCCTCTGGTTCTTTTTCCATGGTTTCATTTTTTTTACCCTTCCATTTTCGGGGGGGGGGGTGTATTAAAACATGAATTGTACTTTTCTTCTTCCTTTTTGCTTTATCACACGCCCAGCATCGACGATAGAAGGCCCTCTCTTTATTTTCACACTTCCAACCCCTTTCCTGTCCTCCCGTCTCCTCCCGCAGGTACCGAGTGACCCAGGCCGAGTTGTTCGCCCTTCTGTGCCGGCTGGCCGATGAGCTCCTCTTCCGCCAGATCTCCTGGATCAAGAAGCTGCCCTTTTTCTGCGAGCTGTCCATCAAGGACTACACCTGCCTGCTGAGCTCCACCTGGCAGGAGCTAGTTCTCCTCTCCTCCCTCACCGTCTACAGCAAGCAGATCTTCGGGGACCTGGCGGACGTCACCGCCAAGTATTCGCCCTCCGACGATGAGCTCCACAGGTTAACAAAAAAAAGCGGAGGGGGGATTTGGGAAGGGGTCCCGGGTGCTCTCTGAGGCGGGTTGCTTTCCTTGCAGACGTTTCACGACCCAGCTAGGTGACATCATCAGTGCTAGAGAAGGGTGTGGGGATTGGTGGAATGGAGGAAAAGA